CGCGTATCGCTACGTGGCCCAGGAGCCGAGTTACAAGGGGGGGGGGTGTTCAAACACCCCCCCCCCCAGTAGGGCGTGGAAATCCAGGACCCCCAGCCGGGCGCGGGTTAAACTGCAACATTATTATTACATTTTAGACTCCCTATCTGATGATAAGATGAAATCATCTTATAAGATGACTTTTAAGATGAATCACATTTTGTTTCTAGTGCCAATTTGAAGTGTTTGTATATCATGCTGCTCTTCATTTAGAAGATAAGATCTCAACTAACCCTGATAAAATTTAGTTCTTTTGAAAGAAAAGAAGGTAAGCAAAAAAAAGAATACATACTTCATTCGCGACGGGCCAGTGCTTGACGCTAACTGCGCCTGGCCGGGGGATTGAACACCCCACCCACTCTAACTCGGCTCCTGGGCCACGTAGCCGCGTGCGGTAAACGGCATTCAAAAGAACGTCAAAAATTATGACGAAAATAATTTTTGCCATGTTTAAGGTTAGGTCAAAGGGCAGGTAACCAGAGGTCATCAAAGGTAAGACTTTGCTTATTTCAACATCGTTCGAAAAACCGGCGCATAACCCAGGAGCCAATAGAGCTACAGCGCTGCGGAAGATCGTGTTCAATACTCTATTAACCCTCGCCGGCACAGGCCATTTTGAGACCTTCGACGGCAAAAAGGGACCCCTCTCGCGTTTGGCCCCTGATCGAGCTAGAGCTTTGCGGAAAAACGAGCGTGCTGTCCTTCACGAGAGGAAGCCGATGATACCAAATTTTAAGGTCCTTGGTCATCGGTTCACCTTCCAGGTCAGGTCAATGACCCAAAAGTCGGGAAAATCGGGACCTGTTAGAAAGTCGTAAAGTATGGCTGCAATAGGGTTTTTCGGGGTGCTGATCACGAATATCGTGTTAGTTTTAAACACCGATGATGTCTTTCAGTATTTAGACCAGGTCGGGTCTGGTCAGGTCAGGTCAACCAGTAGGGCTCGTGACGGGTATTCGTAGTACGTGTCAACCGCCTCTGACAGCTTCGCTACATGTTACGAAGGCACCAAAATTACTTCGTTAATGTTCAAATGGTTGCTTAATTCGAATTTAGCTCCAAAAACTAGCCTAGAAATATGTAAAACTCGAAAACGTGAACCGAGGTCACCAAAGGTCGATGACCTGACCTGACCTTCAAGTGACCCTGACATTCACCCTAATGCATGGAAGCAAAATCAAATCACATGTTTGAACGTTTGAAACCACGAAAAGCTTGCAAACGCGCGGCTAATGCGAGCCGACATACGCCGAATCACGATTCCGGCTAAACATGGTCTCGGAAATTAGGTCACAGGTCAAAGGTCATTTGGGTCAGGGTCAATAAATTGTCATGGTAGGTGTAAAATTGATTAATGCAAAGGGATTGAAAATTTCGTCACGATCGGCCGCTTTTTACGCGAGTTATTTGCGAAAACCTTAAGGGGGTTGCATCATCCCCCCTGTCCCAGAGAGGGTTGACGCTCTTTCTCGAATAAGCGATCAGACGTGACCTAGGGCTAGGACCAACGGTTTAGCATCCAGAGGGCAAAAAATTCAATAGTAGCCATTTTACGAAAAATGTTTTTCAGTAGCTTCTAGCTTTTGACTCAAGAAAGGCACGGTATTTAGTTTGCTATCATCGTGTTACTTTCGCCGAGACGCATCACATAAATTATGATTTGACCTTAAATGGTCATTTTGAAGGGCAAGGTGCATGACCTCGCCGGGAAAAATCATGTTACATATCAGTCGATCCGTATCGTCGACCTGAACACATCGCTCTAGTGTTACCGCTATAGCATGTCCCAATCAAAAGTTATTGCCAAAAACTGCTTGATACCTTTTTGATCTGAGATGACCTCAAGGATATAAGCCTGCCACCTAACCTAAGGTGGCAGACGCAATTTCCGATTCGTTGTGTCAAGTTTACCTGTATCCCGATGTTTGAGGCTGTTTAGAGACGCCTAGCAATTTTCTCCTTATGAGTTATAATGGAGAGGGCGCGAAATTGACCTGACCCAAGGTTACCAATATCAAAGCTCTGAAACATATACTTCATGCATACTTACCTTACGCTACGTTACTTAAATCTTTTATTTTACTTTACGCTACTTTTATGAACAACTGAAAGTTTCAAAGCGATCTTTCAGTAGTTGTAGCTATTGACGAATGACCAGTATTCTAAAAAATATAAGGTGAGGTCATTTGACGTCACCTGGTGACCTCATTTGCGCTGGGTCCGAAATTTCAACAGCATGTGCGGAAAAGTTGCAAAAAGAGGTATGCCAAACAGGGCAGCGCTCGGCGCCGCTATTTTTGAGATATTTGCGAAAACCGCAGGGGATTACGAACATCCCCGGCTCGGCGCTGGTTTATAAAAAGTGACAGTATAAACACATACATCATGGAAGCATAAATTATTTTTATGATTCTCGACTGAAACATATCAAACCTTGCGCGTAGGACTGTGTAATTACTAATTATACGCTCCCTGGCGTGGAATTATTCGGAACTTCATTTATGAACGTGCAGTGGTTCATTACATTTTACTCTTTTTTATGGACACATGGCAGCTAAGAATTAAGACGATTCAGTCTGTTTCATATCTGAGTTCATAACACAATAATTTTTGGGATGAGAGTGAAGGAGAGAGAGAGAGAGAGAGAGAGAGAGAGAGAGAGAGAGAGAGAGAGAGAGAGAGAGAGAGAGAGAGAGAGAGAGAGAGAGAGAGAGAGAGAAGAGAGGGAGAAAGAGAGAGGGAGAGAGATAATGGGAGAGAGAAGAAAAGTTAGACAAAGAGAGAGAGAGAGAGAGAGAGAGAGAGAGAGAGAGAGAGAGAGAGAGAGAGAGAGAAGAGAGAGAGAGAGAGAGAGAGAGAGAGAGAGAGAGAGAGAGAGAGGGAGAGGGAGTGAATGACTGAATTAGTCTATCGAGTATCGACTAATTCGGTCATACATTATCTATCGACTAATTCTTTGTTTATGGAGGCAAAATCAACAGTGTTACTTTTGCTCTATAAGTTCCCTATCCCTGCCCGGCATAATGCGTGCCAGCACGCCAAGCAGCACCTCTTATATTGCTACCTAATGGAAGTTCTAAGAAGCGGGCATTGCCAAGGTTAAAAGACTAGGGATTGGCTTGTTTGTGGTCGGCTACATAGGTAAAACAACACTGTTTAGGTCCGGCAAGATATTGTTCCTGTTACAATATGCAATAGATGGTAAAAAGTTCCGGGCCGGAAGGAGTGCAAACAGAAAGCAGGTGTTCGATTGTTGCTTGAATGAACTCAGACCACTTGACTACAAACTTGAGACAAGGATATTAACAGAAATTCGTTAGTTGAAAGAAATAAAGAAACATAGTTCAAAAATGTAATAAATAAAGCACATGACACCAAACAGCTTTAGAGCTGCACACCCACCCTAGGCACGTTTGACCCCTGTAAACTTCCAGTCCCACTCACCTGAGTAATGAGTCCGTTCCGAATGAATCAGGGTATCACGGCTCTGCGCATGTCCCCGGCCCAGTCTGACCTCTGATGGCGCCGATCACTTTGGAGGCTCCTCCAGCTGCGTAGTGCGTACCCGACCGTTCCGTGCTTCTATCCTCAGGATACAGAAATCCTTCTCCTCCACGCCGCAACTCCCCTCCGGGCTGGACAGGCAACTTTATCTCATGCGGGCTGCTCCCTTGGAGCGGCACCGCTGCTCCCGAGGGAGCGCACCCCGTAGCCGGGTGCAGTGAGTGCCTTGGGGCTGGGTGGCCTGTCCTCAGGACGGGCTCAGCCCCGGCGACTCACTAGGGTGCCTGCCCAGACCAGTGTCTCCCCCTTTATCCTATCATTCTCCCGGCTCTGAAATGGTCTTGTCAGACCGAAAGGGCCTAACCCAACAAAACAAATAAACAAAACAAACAGCTGCGTACCGCAGACGGAGCGCGGTCTCCCCCTGCGACCCGGGCCCGTTCCGGGGAGCCGCGGAGACTGCGGAGGAGCACCCAGCAGGCGGAGCACGGTCTCCCCCTGCGACCCGGGCCCGTTCCGGGGAGCCGACACAGGACGGCGTAGGGAAAACCGTCTCCGGCGCGGCGGCCGGAGTGGTGTGTTCCGGTGATTTTTGTGCCGCCAGGACCGGTGGTCAGCCTATAAAGGACCGGACAGTGGACGGGAAGGCGCAGTAGGCCCTCCAACACCAACATGGAGCAACTGGTGAGTAAAGCAGACCAGCTCCGAGCAGACAATCAGTGTGCGCGACTCTTGAACTGCTGCGGAAGTGTCTGCGTTTAGGAGGAGCGTTGATTGCGTCTGTGCTACTGCTGCGAGGTTTTTGTTATATTGTCTGCAAGTTGCCGGACAGATATATTGGTAATGCCTTCATCAGGTTTTGTTTATTTCCTTTAAGTTGCCTCGCGGGCTCACTTCTTTGCACCTGCTGTGTGCACCGTATCAATAATTTTTCAAAATGTTTATTTTCATAGTAGAATATGTGAAGCCTTATATCTAGAAATATTTTCTATATAGAGCGGCAAACAGAGCTCGATACATTTATTACGTAGTCGTTACTTCAAATCATCATAAAATTTGAGGCCAATAAGGCATACCACAACGGCAAATTAACTTGATGAGTTTGAGGAAACGTAACACCATTTAAACATTGGCAACCTAGCAAAGGTGTTGAAATGTTTGGTTGTAAATACGTTCGTTTGGTTATTTGGTTATAAATATGCTGAGTCTTTTCTGAATTTCCCAATTATACCAAAGTGTGTCGCAATAAAACGGACTCTTACGATTGATAGCTCTAGATAAGTGGGAGGAGAGATACTCGAACAATATTTATATACGAGTATAGCTTACCTGTAAACAATCTTACGCTTCCAATAGGGCCTTGACCAAGACCAAGCTGAAAGCTCCAGGCCTCGGCATACATCCCGTGCATGTGATACTGACAGAGTGACCCTGTTCTGCCAGGTCCTGCTGACGGCATGTCTGGCGACAGCGGTCGGCCAGACGGCCTTCATCCTTCCAGGAGGGTGAGTAAGCGACGAAACACGTGCAAACTGCACGAATATCTCAGGCTGCTGCGACTGTGTGTCAGTTTCATCCAGTCTGTAGCATACCTTAGAGTATGCTTGCTTCCATACGGCATGCAGTGCTTGTTACTTGAAGAACGCAACGCACTAAACAGAGCTGTGGTAGTTGCTTATGCGGTTAGTGGTACCGTATTTTCCTAATGACGTTCGAGCTCTTAGTTCTACCTGCAGCCACATGCATGGTATCGTCCATGTCAATGTCCGCTCCGCGAGCTCACAAGAAACTACGGTGCGATGTAACGATGTGAACGACGTGGTACACAGATTACGAAACTTAACATGCAGCCGGCCGCTGTTTACTATTGGATGCACTGAGCCAAGTTTACCTACGTTCCAGGGCTCCTGGTCGTCAAATTATTCTCATTAAGAAGATGGGTGGAGGGGGCGGAGGAGGCGGTCACGGAGGCGGTGGAGGCGGTCCTCCACCACCACCTCAGATGATCATCCTGCCCATCATGATGCCGCCCGGAGGAGGCGGCGGAGGACATCCTCCAGGAGGAGGCGGAGGACCTCCCCCTGGAGGTGGACCACCCCCTGGAGGCGGGCCTCCCCCTGGAGGCGGACCTCCCCCTGGAGGTGGAGGACCTCCCCCGGGAGGTGGAGGTCCTCCTCCGGGAGGTGGACCTCCCCCAGGAGGTGGACATCCACCTGGTGGCGGAGGGCCTCCCCCGGGAGGCGGGCATCCTCCAGGAGGTGGACCGCCTCCTGGAGGTGGACATCCCCCTGGAGGCGGACCGCCTCCTGGAGGCGGTGGAGGACCTCCCCCAGGAGGCGGACATCCCCCTGGAGGTGGGCCTCCTCCTGGAGGCGGACCTCCACCCGGTGGCGGACCGCCTCCTGGAGGCGGCGGAGGACCTCCTCCTGGTGGCGGACCTCCCCCTGGAGGAGGACCTCCTCCTGGCGGCGGAGGACCTCCTCCTGGCGGCGGAGGACCTCCTCCTGGAGGCGGACATCCTCCTGGTGGCGGACCTCCCCCTGGAGGCGGACCTCCTCCTGGAGGCGGGCCTCCTCCTGGAGGCGGGCCTCCTCCTGGAGGCGGACATCCACCGGGAGGCGGACCTCCCCCATGGGGAGGTCCTCCCCCGGGCGGAGGACCTCCCCCTGGTGGCGGACCTCCCCCGCATGGTGGGGGAGGCGGTCCGCCGTTTGGTGGCGGTCCGCCGTTCGGCGGCGGTGGAGGACCTCCGCCAGGAGGTGGAGGACCTCCGGGTGGCGGAGGAGCGCCTGCTCCGCTGGTGCAGTACGTGCCGATATACCTGAACCCGCCTCCTGGTGGTGGCGGCGGTCCCCCGCCGGGAGGGCCGCCGCCGGGCGGACCCCCACCGGGCGGACCGCCGGGTGGTCCCCCGCCGGGCGGACCCCCGCCGGGCGGTCCACCGGGCGGTTTCGGCGGCCCGCAGGTGATCAGCCTGGCGCCGCAGCCGGGCGGCTACCCGGGAGCGCCGGCTCCTCTGATGGCTGGCTACCCACGATTTGTGCAACCCATCAGCAACAGTATCGCCGGCCCCGGATACATCTAGACCAACAGTGTGTAGCGCTCCCGGCTGTTTCGGCGTCAAAAGATGTGTTGCAGACTTTACCTTTATTGGCGTCTTTGCCTAAAGTTGACGAATTAATTGTAACTAACGCGATGATAGCCACGTGGTTATGCAATTTGATGATGCCATTTGAGCTGCGTTTTCAGCAGATCATGTTCCGTTTTACTTGGTTTCTTCTGGAAAGAAGGAACAAGATGCTCTAGTCGGATAGAGAATGTTTAGGTGATATTTGAACATGTGCAGGCACTTCAATAAACACACCGGTTATCGACAATAAACGGTATTACATTTCATCTATGTTGAAATGCAAACTTATCAATAAATATGTGTGATGTGATGAGCGTTTCTTTATCAATTCGTGATGTAGGGGAGGTCTGCGCAGAACATCAGAGGGAGGTGGGCGTTTCGGCCATCCTGTGAACTCTGCTCGTTTCTCCTCCCACGCATTTGCACGGTAACATCGATAGCAGTATAGTATAGGTACCCATTACCCACCCTAAAGTTCATATTCTCCCCTGACTGGTGGCTGAGAAATTATACTGGTTTATACTTACGAGTATATACACTGTGGCTTATGCATGACAGAATTGCACTACTGGCAGATTCGGGGGGGGGGGGGCTAAAAGCAGACGATATTAGCAGACGAGCCCATGCTCAGTAACTACTGAACCGATGTTGATAATTCTTTCACCATTCAATAGCAGGGAACTAACATAGGTGACGTTTTATCGTTTTTTGGCGATTGATTCACTCTGAGTAGACCAATCGGACCAAAATGGTCCAGAACTATACACCCCCTTAAAAGCCGATGAGCCCATGCTCCGAAACTACTGGGCCGATTTCAATGAAACCTTCACCATTAGACGCGTCGTGGTCTGAAACGGTGCCGTTTTTGATAATTCTTTGATTAGTCCACCCTAAGTGGTCCAAATTGGTCCAGTAGTTTCGGAGCATGGGCTCGTCTGCAACAGTTTTTAGGGGTTTTGGACCGATTTATTTAAACGATTACACCATCATATACTTGGACTAGAGGTGGCAAAAGATGAAAATTTTGGGAACCAGACTCGAACCAGACCCGGCTGGACATTTCTGGAACCAGTCGGACCCGGTCGTAGTTGGAACCGGAACCAGTTGGACCCGTTCCCCAAAAGTCAACTAATACAAACTACTTGTAGGTATCTTTAGTTGTATCATGTAAAACAGCCTATTTCCCACAGGGAATACTCATGCGCTACTGTGTGCAAAGAAACATTCACTTCATTCACTTCATATTTTGCAATAATGTGTAGTGTGCAAGATGTATAGTTTATGTTAGGACCCGGTTGGACCCGTCAGAAAATTTCCAGGAACCGGTCTGGACCCATATGGGTCCAGACTGGTTCTTTGGACCGGGTCCTCGGGTCCACATTTTGCCACCTCTAACTTGGACATATCAAGATACTTCGAAAAGATATGGCACGAAGGATTAGTTGCAAAATGTGACACTGAGTTTGGAATACGAGGCACAAATCTCGATTGGCTTAAATCTTACCTTCATGATAGGAAGCAATCAGTTCAGGTAGGGGAGGCCATATCCACCCAGCGCACACTATTCACAGGAGTGCCGCAAGGATCTGTTCTCGGCCCGCTTCTGGCCATCCTGTATTTAAACGGACTTAGTAGCATCACCGACAATGAAATGCTGTTTTTTGCTGATGACAGCTCACTGTATGCCAGTCACAATGCCGACAACGTTAACGAAGTTCAACGATCACTGCAACGTGACTTGGAACGCATCAGTCACTACGGAGATAATTGGATTGTAACTTTTAACGCAACGAAGACTACTCAGCAGACTTTCACGAAAAATAACGGTAAAATTCCCACCCTGGTTTTTGGTGGCGTAGGAATTCCCGTTCGAGATTCCCATAAGCATCTTGGCGTAACGATTTCTACCGACCTAAGGTTCAAGTCACATGTAGATAATGTCCTGTTAAAATTCAATCGCACGCTGAGTCCTCTATTTCCAATCGCACCCTTGATTCCCAGACAGATATTGTTGAATATATATCAAATGTACGTGCGTCCTCACCTCGACTACTGTGATACCATATATGATTGTCATATAACAATATTTGACAAATCACGACTGGAGAAGGCGCAGAACAGGGCAGCACGCCTCATCACTGCCACTCACCGCCGGACACCCACCTCCGGACTTAGGACTGAGCTTGGCTGGACCACCTTACAAGATAGGCGCCGCACCCACAGGCTGAAACTCTATCATAAGATTATCGTCGACGAACGAGTGCCCATTTACATAAAAGATATAATACCAGCAACAAGAAATTCGGCGCTAACACGACAATTACGCTGTACGCAATACAACAAACGCACTATTCCAGCGGCTCGCTCCGCGTCGTATGCAAGGTCTCTCGTCCCAGCTACGACCAGAACATGGAACGAACTGCCTGACACCATGCGGACAGAACACAGCATCAGACAGTTCAAGACCTCGTTGCACGCATATATAGGAATCACGCCACCGCGTTTTTTCTTCAATGTAGGGTCCAAAATAGGAAACATGTTACATACACGAATCAGACTGAGGGCCTCGGATCTACACGAGGATCAACATAAATTTGGAAAAAACAATACAACAGCTTGTAGATGTGGAGGCGCTAAAGAAAACGTGGAACACTTCTTACTCGTATGCCCACTATTTAATGTAGAACGAACGACATTATACGACAATTTATCAGCAGTGCTTGAAACAACTTCAGAAATATTCCGCGGGAAGCCCAAATTGAAATTCTAACGAAGGGTCCATCTAAAACAAATAGGGACTCTGAAACTAACGTTGCGCTGGCTGTCCAGCGCTTCATTCTCCAAACGAAGAGATTTTCTCACTAGAATAGACATTAGATAAGCTGACGATCGAAGGGAGAACTGACTAACAAAAACATGCGAAGAAACTATTCTCTGCGCTAGCCGAGGGCAGGGGACAGGCGCTTCGGCTACAGGTTTAGGGTCGGCCACTTTTGCGAATGTGACATATAGTAATATTAACAATTTGTAATGTCCATT